AAGACTGGAAACAGTTTTTTTCTTGATTATTTGCTTGTTAATGTAAACTGGGATGCAGTGGCTCAATGGCTAAGACGCTGAACTTGTCGATCAGAAAGGTCGGCAGTTCGGCGATTCAAATCCCTAGCACAGGTTAATGGAGTGAGCTCCCGTTACTTGTCCCAGCTTCTGCCAACCTAGCAGTTCAAAAACATGTAAAAAAGCAAGTAGAAAAATAGGGACCACTTAGGTGGGAAGGTATCAGCGTTCCATGCGGCTTCGGCATTTAGTCATGCTGGCCACATGACCACATAGATGTCTTTAGACAGTGCTGGCCCTTCAGCTTTGTAATGGAGATGAGCACCACTCCCTAGAGCCGGAAACGTAGAGTCGGTTCCCTAGAAGGAAATCTACCTTTTAATGTAAACCTGTACCAATTTTTTTTTCATTTCAGCCTTATTTAATTATTTATATGATCATTCATCTCACAAAAACATGGCTCTTCATCTAATGATAAATTGTATGTATTTATGTATTTATTATAAAATTTATATAGCCATTTCATCGAAGAGTGATACACAACAATAGATTAAAAACAAAACTATAAAAAGAGTAAATCTAAAAGCCAGTAATAAATACAAACCATAGTTAAGAGAGAATTTAAAAATCCCCCCGCAACAGTGGAGCCATTTAAACAAATCACATTGGGAGCCCCAAAACTGATAATACAACAGATCTTGAAGGCCTTTCGGAATATCAGAAGGAATGAGGCCAATCAAATTTTGATGACAAGGATATGAAACACACCAAAGACTTTTCTGGACCCCACCAAATGTAGATCTCTAGCTGATTACACCTGCAGCATGCCTTTTCTGCAAGAACTTATGAGGTGGGCTGATGTAATTGGGAAGAGGTAGTCCTCAGATAGTCTTATACCGTATCGTTAAGGGCTTTAAGGATTAAAAACAGCAGCTTGATTTGGACCAGAAGCAAACTAGCAACTAATGCAGTACTTATTAAACACTGTTTTAGCAGCATGCCTATATCGCTGCATTCTGAACCAGCTGGAGTTTCTGAATATTCTTAAGGGTTACCCCATGTAGAGTGCACGGCACTAGTCAAATCTAGAAGTGATTAGGGCAGTGATGGCTAACCCTTTTTGGGCTCCTGTGCCAAAAATTGTGAGTGCACTGGCATGCCCATACTTACGTGGCAGCACCCAAAATGCAATGTGCGTGTCCCCTCCCCATGCCCCCTGTGCATGCCTGCGCAATCCTCACACACCCCCACCCGCTTACCTGCACTGCGCTTCACAGCTGATTTTTTTTGTTGTTGGTTTGAGGCCTTTTTCGGCCTCCCAGAGGCTTGGAAAAAGCCTCTGCAAGGCTTCTCAGGCCAAATTATAGGCCCATTTTGTCACTTCCGGTATTAGAGGCCGGTATTACTGTTGGTCTTTAATACTCTGATTGTTGTTTTAGAATAATATCAGTTCTAGTCTATAAATTTTTAACTAGAAAGTAACACAAAGCATCATTGCATGCTTTAGAATCAAGCATAATCAACTGCAGTTGTATCATTACAAATTTATATTTGTTTACAATTTCATACTTTTGAACCAACCATCTCCCTAAGAAATTATAATATATGACAGTGGTAAATAATTGATTTGACTAAAAATAGGATGCCACTGTTCATTTCAACAGTGAGAGTTAATGTAGTTAATGGCTAAACCAGCTAAATAAGCTTTTAGTCTTTTTTCAGCCTGACTGAATAGGTTTAGTTGAATACTAGCAGCTTTGTTGTTTCATAAGCTTCCTTTTGTTCTTCTGCAAATGAATACCCGAGTTTCATGATTGTGATGCAAACTCCAGGTACAGTAGGATAAAAATAGTAAATTATATAGCATTCCCCTTCCTTGCCTCTTAACCAAAGATAATTTACCTTGAAGGAGATTATGTACTTCTTTCAGAAATTGTGTTTTTGAAGTCAACAGAAGCTGTATCATTTTAAAGTTTTGAATAGGTAAAAAGTGAGGATGAAGCATTATGAACTTACATGGTTTTCATGTTGCCCTTTTCAATATTAAACTAGTTATTTCTGATTATTACATTGTTAAAATGACTTATGCTGTAAACAATTTTAGTAGTTCATTGTCTTTAAAAAGATCTTTCAAGAGATGCAAGGTAGCATTTATAATTGGGTAGTAAAAAGTTGGTCGTTCTGGAAGGCATTTGGGGATTGATTATAGATTGACAGTAGTTACTTTTAAACTTATTATCTAAGTTTTTAAATGTAAACTTTATTCTTATTTCTATCTTAATATCTGAACTATTCACACAGTCAGTGAGGATTGAGGTAGTAAATAAATTGCTTAAACAACTGAAAGTAACCATAGAAAAAATGGTAGAATTTGAAATAAAATAATAGGTGGAATTACAATTCAGTCATTTATGTACACACAGATCATATTTTCCAATTACATATGAACACGTATAAAACTAATGGAATCTTGCAGCGTTTTAGTAAATTTTTAAAATAGTAACTCTTTGTAAAGACACAATGTGAGAAAAAAAACCACTTTAGCTTTGTGGTTACTGTAAATATTGAATTTGTTACCAGAAGATTTATCTTATTTAAACCACAAGAATGCTTTTTCATATTGTCATAGGAAATGGTACTTTATTTACCATTTCCTTCATTCAGTTCGGTTTATTTATTGTAACAAAAGGGAACCTCAGTTTTTGAAAGAAGTGGAATACATGTTTCTTTATTGTCATAATGATGCTTATTAGATTGTGTTTATTACTAACTATTCCGTATCTCCAGTGTTATGATATTGAACCATTATTTGCATTGGAATGGGATGAATAAATACGCCATACTGAATGCTAAAAATATGTAGGGGGCTGCCCTTGGAAGCACCACAAGCTAGACTTGTGTATAATGCCTCACCATTACTATATATAATTTCTGTTGAAATAGCTATACTTGCTCCTGATTTTCCATTGAATTAAGTTTAGGATGTTAAACTATAATGCTTTAAAAGCATGAGATCAGGATACTTCAAAGAACTCTTCCATATCAAGAATAATCAATGAGGAAGAAGGCCTATTCTGCCATGACCTCAATATTGTCAGTACAGTATCCCAGTCTGTATGACATATGTCTGTATTTCCTACACTACCACTCCAAAGGACTCCAGAAGACTTATAGCTGCTGTCCCTTTGCAAGGCTACAAAGTTCAGCTGGGCAAAGGTCAGCCAGGGGTGGCTGGGAGGGAAGCGGGGGGTAGGCTATGGTGGCATATGAGGTCCTCACTTAATGACTAAAACCAGACTATTGGAACTGCTGTTGCTCAGTGACGTATTAACATATTTCACCTAATGACCTCTTTGCTTAGTATTGGCAATTCCACTCCTAATTAGGGTTAAGTAAGGACTATCTGTACCTTAAAAAAAAATTAATAGTTTTACGGATAACTCAGAAGTATACTGAACCAATCATTGTTGAACCCATTGTTTGCTTTTGGGTTTGCTTTTGCTAGAAATCAGAAGTAAATGCTGTTTCTTGGCAAAAAGTGCATAAACCATGGGGGAGGGTGGGATGGCCAATTGAATTTTTTCTTAGAACACAGCTTCCAAAATGTGCAGGTTTTTAAAATGTGTACCTGCTCTTTCTATCGATGTCAAACAGAAATGTTCTTGCAACCGTCCAGAATGGAGTGAGTTGCAGCTCCTGGACAGAAAATGTTGCCCATTCTGCTTAATATATATAAGTGTGGATATGTTTGGTTTTATTTAATTCCTTCTGAGGAATGCAAGCAGTGTGTCTGCTTGGTATTAATGGTTTATTGGATTTCTAAAAATTGTTCAACACAATACATATATTTATAGTTCTATCTACTATATACTGTATATTTAGACAAGGTAGATTTCATTTAGTTGCAGGAAACATAATTATGATTTGCTAGATAGATGCTGTTTGTGTTTATGAACTAATTGAATGATGTCTTTCAATTAGTTGTTTTTAAACATGTAGTTATTAATAGCTGATCTGCATTCTGTAAAAAGACAGGAATGTACATTATAGATAAAATAATGTATATGGCACTATCTATAAATAGAGGGGGGATGAGGAAGGGGAGGGTTTTTAGATTGTGGGTTTTTAATGTTGTACGCTGTCTGGAATCATCATGTGTGAGTTGGGTAGCCCTATACATTTGCCTAATGAATAAATAAATATAAAGCTTTAGCAAGCACATTGCCAGGTTATGTTACAGATCACTTTACTAAAATAATTCTATTTTGTAAAATGTAAAATTGTAAAAATATCAAGAGAGGACTTCCTCCAGATTTTGTCACTGTGAGAAGCAAAAGCAGAACAGGAGCAGAGGTGGTATTCAGCAGGTTCTGACCAGTTCTGGAGAACTGGTAGCAGAAATTTTGAGTAGTTCGGAGAACGGGTGGTAACCTTCCCCCAGGAGTGGGGAGGGAATGGAGATTTTACAGTATCTTTTCCCTGCCAACCCACCAAGCCATGCCTACAGATCCGGTAATAAAAAATTTTGAATACTACCACTGATCAGAAGGAAGCCCTTCTCCGTAGTTGCTTCAATATAAAGGGGATCTATGAGGTTAGGTGTGTGGGTATTAAAGAAGTCACGGTAGTAGACCCAACTATGTAGTCAAAGAGCTGCCCTTTATATGCGCTTTAAGCACACACACACACCTCATTTTTTAAAAAAATCTGCCCTGAGAAGACTTTCCTTTTTAAGCAGACATTTAAGTTTTTAGTGACTGGGCAGAATTTTTCTTAACTATGTTATGTTGGTCTGAGGGTATTGTGATTTTTACTGGATTGTTTACTTACGCATTATAGTTAACCCCTGAGTTCCATAAATATTGTGTAAATGATAAATAAAGGATAATTGCATAAAATAAATACAATTATTAAAAGTGTTGCAAATGCTTTTTTAAAGAGAAATTAGTAACTAAACAATTTTTTTTTTTTTTTGTATGCCACAGATTTTTTAAAGAAGCTTCTCAGATGAATCAGCTCAGAGGAACATTTCACCAGGATACCTGAAACTATGGAATAAACAGAATAATACTTATGGAATTAAAATCACTGTATGTATCAAATTGCTCCAGTTCAACAAGTCCTGAAAAGTTACTTTATCATATTATTATTTACATATTTACTGAAACTTGCTTCTGATGCAGCTAAGAAAAATGCAGTCCATTAAAACAGAACAGGCATCTGCTGATACAAGTGGCAACATGGACAAAATTATGACTCTTAATTCTACACTGACTGATGTATCGGATGACTTAGCTATTGGTGATGAAATGTTACTTGCAGAAGGAGCCGTTACGAAAAACAAGGCTTCAGCATGCAGGAGAAAGCGGGAATTCATTCCGGATGAAAAGAAAGATGCAATGTACTGGGAAAAACGGCGTAAAAATAATGAAGCTGCCAAAAGATCTAGGGAAAAACGGCGACTGAACGATCTTGTTTTAGAGAACAAGCTAATTGCACTGGGAGAAGAAAATGCCACTTTAAAAGCTGAGTTACTTTCACTGAAGTTAAAGTTTGGTTTAATAAGCTCTTCTGCATATGCCCAAGAGATTCAGAAGCTCAACAATTCAACAGTGGTTTATTTTCAAGAATATCAGAATTCCAAATCAAGCATTAACGCTTTCATTGATGAACATGAGCCAACTATTGTAAGCAGTAGTTGTATATCTGTCATTAAGCACTCGCCACAAAGCTCTTTATCTGATGTATCTGAAGTGTCATCAGTAGAGCACACTCAAGCAAGCCCCACACAAAACAATTGCAGAAATACTGATAATAAATTCCAACTCATAAAGCAGGAACCTATGGAATTAGAAAACTATACAAGAGATTCACGAGATGAAAGAGGGTCCTTTACAACTTCAATATATCCAGGCTTCATGGGAAGCCATTTTAATGGCTATTCACATTCCCCTCCACTGTTGCAAGCCAGCAGATCCTCCAGCAATTCTCCAAGGACTTCAGAAACTGATGAGGGTGTTGTGGGAAAGTCATCAGATGGAGAAGATGAACAGCAGGTTCCTAAAGGTCCAATCCATTCTCCTGTTGAACTTAAAAATACTAATGCCATAGTTAAGGTCCCAGAGGTAAGCTCCTCTGCACTTCCTCATAAACTGAGAATTAAGGCAAAGGCCATGCAAATCAAAGTAGAAACATTGGATAATGAATACGATGCCACACAAAAACGACTGTCACCTATTGATATGTCATCTAAAAGACATTTTGAACTTGAAAAGCATAATGCACAAAATTTAGCACATAATACTCACACTCCTTTCTCAATTCAAGTGACTAATATCCAAGACTGGTCTCTGAAACCAGAACACTGGCACCATCAAAAAGAACTCACTGAAAAAACCCAGAGTGACTGCAAAACCACAGAGCTTGATGTTAAAGACAATTCCTACAAAGTTTCTGAGACTGAAAACTTGTACTTGAAACAGGGCATAGCAAATTTGTCTGCAGAGGTTGCTTCCCTTAAGAGACTTATAACTACACAACACATCTCTGCTTCAGACTCTAGCTAAATGACTACTGAGTAATTATTATTTTAAAGGATGTCATTTGCAGTAAGTTGGTATGTTTTGTATTACGCTGAATTTTCACTGGACTTGGAATGTCATTTCACTGTAATGTTCACATAATGTCTGATGGATGATGTCTTTTTGTGCACAGATGACTGTGGAGATGAGATTGTCAAGATCACTAGCCTTGTGTATGGTGAAGATGCCTGTGTACATGCTGTATATATAGTGAACATTATTTTTCTGTCATTCTGTTACTATAAAGTGTGGAAGTTGCCAGTTACAATAAAAAATTGGTGACAAGCACAAACTAAACTGTCAAATCACTTTCAGTCAGGATTTTTTTTTTCAAGTTCACAGTCATGTCATGAGACATATCTCCATTTTCTGACAATATATTCATTATAAGGGTGGGTATCATTCCCCCCCCCCCATCACTTCTTATCCTTGTTTTGCATGCCAAGTTTCATGTAAAAAAAGGTGCTGAGAGACAATTGATAATTCAATATGACAATATCAAATGGACAAATCAGAAAACAACACTTGGGAAAGACAATGATTTTTTTTTTCTGACTTGTGCCCCTTGCGTTTTAGACTAATATCGTGCATTAATATTTACTTTATTATGGTTGTCCATCTTATAATAGTTAAAAGCAAGATAAGCTGAGAAAAATTCACCAACAAGAACAATTAGCACATGATGCAGATACAATTACATCTGGGCCCCCAGTCTCAATAATAAAATCAGGCTTGCAAAGCATTACAAAAGGTAAGCAGGATCAGGGAGGGTCTGATGTCTAGAATGATGTTACAAAGAATGGGTGTCATGACAAGAAAGCTTGGGTCCTGCCAGATGACAATCCCTAGTAGACGGTACCTGGAGCATGCACCTCCTTCCTGATCCAACTGGACAGGTAGATGCAACCAGGAAGAGAGAGTCCTGCTCAGGGGTGGCATACAAAAGGGTTAACTACCGGTTCTATTTATGAGCTTTCCTGCCCGCTGTGAGCCACGTGCCTGTAAATCATTAGCACACTGCCTGCCAAGAAGCAGCCTTTGAAACAGTCCTCTTGTTTTTTTTAACTGCAGCTGTGCCTCGTTAGGCAGCTGAAGTTGAAAAATCAGGAAATAAAGATCAGGTAAGAACCCAGGTGGGTGGGAGGGCAAAAACATCAGCAGACATAGAACCGGTCTATGTCTGCTACTCTTCAGAGCTACCGGTTCTACAGAGGTGGACAGAACTGGTAGAAATCCACCCTTGGTCCTGCTGTAACCTGAAAGCTTACTGACAAACAATGCAGAGCAGAATCATCCCTGGCTCTAAAACGAGTGTCAAATTTGCATTGTCACAGCAGCGTCATGTGACATCGTGATTTCACCTCCAAACCAGGTATGGGTGTGGCTACTGCATGACGCATCCAGCCTGCAGGCCACAAGTTTGACAGCCCTGCTCTAAAAGGCACCCATAATTGCCTGCACTGCTTCATTTTGCACTAGCTGAAGCTTCCAAATCCTCTTCAATGGCAGCCCCATTTAAAAGCACATTGCAGTAGGCCAAATGCACGGGTGTCCAAGAACCAGTCTGGAATGGGGTAATTGGTGCATAACACGTAACTGTAAAGGTCCTAGTCAAAGCTTCTATCCGATCTTCAAGAAGGAACTGGGAATCCAGGAGAACCCACAATTTGTGCAACCCGATCAATAACTACACAAAGAAGGCCGCTAGAACAATAGTGTCCTAAAACCATTAGGTTTTGCTACGGATTTGCTGTGTAGAACAAGATAATTGTTCTACACTCAAGACTTCCCACAATCTTCAGACACCAAGACAAGATTTCTACCACATGATGCAGGTAGTCTGGGCTGGAGATGTAAATCTAGCCAACATCTACCAACTCATATCTCAACCTAAATTGACAGATTACCTCACCCAGTGATTTAATGTAGATGTTGAACAAGAGTGGATATTATTCAGAGACCTGCTGCACTCCACAAAGCAGGGGCCATGGGCTGGACCTTCCCCCGTATCAATTTATATTTAATTAGAAAACATAAAAATTAAAATGATATGCAGATATTGGAAAACTACTGTATTTTTCTTTTTTCCTCACAGGCTTGTGATACCCAGGAAACAGTCAAAAACTGTCTTGTCAGATTAGTGTAACAAAGTATTCATTTGGTTACTGTCAATTTCGTTTGACGACTTAATCCCAACCTTTTCCCAGAGGATCTGTTAAAAGTGCAGCATGTTGCAAAACAGACATTCAAAAACTTTACAGTAACAGAAACTGTGGCACTCACAAACGATGATGTACACCAGGGGCGTCAAACTCAAGGCCCGAGGCCCAGATCCGGCCTGTGGGGTGCTTACATCTGGGCTGCGGGGCTGCCCTGGAAACAGTGATGGACCAGCCCACAGTGCCTCTGCCAGCAAAAACAGAGCTTGGGAGGGCCACATGCAGCCCTCCTGAGCTCCATTTTTGCTGGCAGAGGGTTGCAGGAGCCGTCACAACCAAAAACAGCTCAAGAGCCTGTTTTCGCTGGTAGAGTGCTCTGGCCACCATAGGTGTCTCTGACATGAATGACGTTGAGCTGGCCATTCCCATCTCGGCCCATCGAGATCAAACACAACCATGATGCAGCCCTCAATAAAATCAACTTTGACACCTCTGATATACATGATAACATCACAGTTCATATCTATGAGGTTCTCTGCCCCATAAAATGTATTCTATATTATTTCATTTAAATAATAAAGGAAAGCTAGGATATTGTAAAGGAGAATCTCAAGCCCAATATAAATTGTATTTCCAATAGTCCTCTACACCACTGACTACAAGTATGTTTTTGATCTACCCAGAAAAAAATAGAAAATTAAGATGAAATGGTAGTCGAAATATTGGCATATCAGAAGGATGATAAAGTCTAACTTTACAAATTTGCTTTCCGGTGAACTGGTATTCTGTAACTCTCCATGCCCATTGTGGCATTAATGTTATGCCCAAGACCTCAGATTCTAAGGAGTCTTTCAAAAAGGTTGGAAAGCAATTTTCCTACACAAAGAAATCAGACATAAAATACTCTTATCTGTAAGTACCATGATGAAACTTCAATTTAGCAGAACTTGTGCAATACACTTTGGGTGCATGTTGACAACCCTAGTTGTATTTACATCATTTTGCATAATAACTTCACTGTATGACTTAATTGAGACAATGGTGAATAATGGATGTTATTTCATATGGTCAATTAAAAATTTCACAGAAAAAGCAAATGAATTTCAGAAACAATGGAAATGGATGTGATTTTTGCAGTCTGCAGTGGATTTTAACTGCTATTAAAATACTTAATTTTTCATTTACTACTAAGAACTTTGCATTTAAAGGTCTCCAATAAAGCTTTACATTCAGGATTCCAAGCTTAGTTAACATTTTAGCTTTCCTTTTAGGATATGTTTATTGATAAATTTATTGTCTCTTGTACAAATGACTGCCTTCTGGAACTGTTTGTTTTATGGTCTGTTGTTAGCAAGTATCAGCAAGAACGTAATGCTATACAAAATATAACTTTAAAGGCAATTTTTTCAATACAAAACCTAGAAGACAATCATTTATGTTCATACAAAGATCTCTTTTGAGTCAAGTTTCCTTCTGGTAAATTCATGGATATGTCTATAAATTTTGATGGCAACAATATGGAAGGTTGCTGTCTTCTCCCAGGACTTTTTAAAACTTCTCAATATAATCTAGAGATAGGCATTTCCTGATGCTCTTCCATTCAAGTATTACCTAGGTCTGACCTGCTTAACTTTTAATCATTCAAAGATGGCCAAATTCATATGTTCTGTTTTTAGCTGATCTTCAATTATTTCTCCAATAGAGACCTTAATGCAGACAATCAATTTTGGTATACCCTATCATAACTGCATGCATTTTCAAATTTATCTATTACAGTAGGTATGAAAACCTAAATTTCTAGCTGATCCTTTTTACTATACTAAAATAACACAATTGCCAGTCAAGCATTCTATCTGATCAATAAATTGCAAATAATTGACCATAAATACAAGATCTTCAGAACCCAGTCTCTGAGAATATACATAAAGTGACTTGTTTTCATTGTTAATTGTGTATATAGGTGATCCTCAGGTTGCAATGGTAATAATTGGGACCAGAATTTTTTGTCACAGTAATGTCACATTGCTTAGCAACAGCAATCCCAGCAGTCCCCATTGCCATCATTAAGTGAGAATCGTGGGTCACTAAGAGAGGGCTTAAGACTTTCTTCTGGCTTCCCCATTGATTCTACCTGTCCGATGTCAGCAAGGAATCAAAAGGAGGATCTAGACTGGGGTGGCTGTTGCTGAGGGTGGTAGACCTCACAAGCCTCTGCCATGGCCTAATATGAAGCCTCAGATAACCAGAGCTGCCCTGTACGCTGAGGCCCCTGTCACCCTAGCTAGACAGCTCTTGTTCCCACTACTGACAAGGGATGCCTGGGCAGGCCTACCCTTTCTTTATAAGGCCTTCTTTATGAGGTCTCATGTGGATCCAGGGATGGTGGTGGTAAAATGGCGGGCATGAGGGAAGATAAGCAGGTGAGGGTTGCTGAAGCACACCTTATAATTGGAAATGCTGGCATGCTACCAAGAACCTGAATTTTGACCATAGAGGTATCCAGTGACCATAACTTTGAAGAGCAGGCACAAATTACATTTGTTTTGTGCCATAATGTCAAACACAGAATAAACAGCCATTAAAGACTACCTTAGTCTGTATCTTATACCTAGTGGAGCCTACTCTCAAATTTTTATAAATTCTCTAGAGTTCTACACTAAACTTTCAATTCTTTTTGTTGCTAATAATGATGGTTACTGAACATTTTGGAACTTATTTTATCTAAGCAACTTTCCCATTCTTTTCCTTCCATTTCTATCAAGCTTTTTGTTACTTAATATAATATTCTTATTGTTTGAAGATCTGTAAATGAATAACCTTCACTAACAATTAAATTGTTCTTTCTTTTTAAAAACCCTGCTCATTTCTGTGTTTCCAAAAATCACATTACAGCTGTTCTTCAATCTATATTTGCTAATTCAGAAATGATTATTTTATTGCTGCATCATGCATGCATTTCACTATGAGATAACTTTTGTGAAATTTTCATCAGTGAATGAATGAATATGTGATACCTAACATCTCCTCAAATTCCTTCAGACTCAAGGAATTTAATCAAGTAAGCTTAATTAGCTCTATAACATCGGATGAAATAAATAATCAAATAACATCTAATAAT